TATATATATACATACACATATATGGCTCTTTTGGTCTATACAGACGGTCAATTTATCTCAAGGTGGTCTCAAGGTTGTCTTCATGCAGCTTCTTTCATGGCGAATTCTTCCTGTGTTTGAAGCTCAGAATCTGTCGCAGTGCTTGCATGTCAGTGATGTAGATCGGAGCTCTGAATACAAAGAATATGAATATATATGTTATTTAACTTACCCCAAAAATACCGTTAAACATTGTCTTTTAACTTCTCATTTTTGTGTATTCATAGCAGTTGCATGCAGAGTACACAACGAATATGAATACATATATTATTAGAAATATAGTGTAAAGCGCATATAGCCTGCTGTTGAGCGAGGATTTGCGCTATACAAATGCTATCTATTATTATTATTATTATTATTAATTTAAAATAATTACGAAAAATAACTTTTAAAGTTGTTTTTTTAGTTCTCATTTTAATGTATAAAAAAGAAAGAGAAAGTGAAAAATCCTTACCGTACGTGTTTGTGTGTGTCCAAAATATGAATTCATATAATATTGCTAAAAACATGTTGTTGGTTGTTTTGTTTGAAATAATTCATTTGTGTAAACTGTGCGTGTTTGTGTTTGTCCAGTGGGCTACCAGCAGAAACTGAGGACCTCCCTGTCCACACAGATCCCTTACATCATGGCTGTGACCTCATCAGCTGACGGCTCTGTGTCTCTGGACGCCAGGCTCAACACAACACTTGTGGCTATGGTAGGTTGTGGAAGAAATTAGAATGTCCTGGCAGAAAGACCGAGATACTCGACATAATCTCTCGACCCCCACCCGGGAATCAAACTCCAGTTTCCCTCGCACGACAATGACAAAGCTAACTACTACACCAACAAATGTCAGTGTATGTGCTTTGTTTTAGTTTGAGCTAGAGTTTAAAGGCACTTGCGACTCTAACCAGCGAGGCTGTACTATGCAGTAAGTGTTTACGGCACTTGGAACACAATAAGGTCATATAAGTGAAGAAGATTAGCAGTATTACAAGAGAGTAACAAACGAACAAAAAAGGAGGGGAGATAAGGACAATAGATGTTTAATAGGAAAGAAGGATAAACCACACCAGAGCACCCCTCAACCACCCTCTTTGTAGTACGTGCGTAGTTTTAGTTAGAGGAAGAGTTTAATGACATTTGCAACTGAAACAAGTGAGGCTGCAATGTGTGATTTGTTTTCGTTTTAGAAAGAGTTTATGGCACCTTCAACACATTAGGGTCGCAGGTGCCAAAGATTATAGGCGACACTGAAGAGAAGTAGTCAAACTTAGTCAAACTAAAAACGAACTACACAAACAAAAAGTGGGAGTGGCGATAAGGTCGACCAAACTTTCACAAATAAACGTCAGAGCGAACAATAAAATGGGTCAGTTTGTGATTATTTCAACCACTGTCTGTCTCGCTTTATATCCCTGCCTAATAAAGGTTTAGTTTACCCTGGCCTATGAGTGTAAATCTAGTTCCGCCTGTGACCTTCAGTGTCATTTCCGAGACTGGAACCCTCCCTCCTTTCCTCCACCAGGTGGACAACATGATGCGGCGATACCGGGTCCCCCATTACCGGATGTCCAGGGTGGTGGGTTTCCGACCCGCAGACGACACGGTACAGAGGAGGAAGAGACAGGCCATGTGAGTACCGGACCATTTCTCTGCTGTTGTTGTTGTTGGTGGTGGGGGTGGTGTTGTTGTTGTTGTTGTTGTTGTTGTTGAGGCTGATGCTGTTACTGTCTACGCTATTGGCTGAAGCCTATCCGTAGGCCTACGTCGTGTTTTACTATCATATCCATACGACGTGGGGAACTCTGTGCCATCACTTTCCAAAAATCGAATTTTACTAGTTATTCTGATTCGTACGATTTGCCTAGCAGTAGCAGTCTGTCAAAATCTTCGCACTAGAAGTATTCTAAAATGTAAAGAATACAACCTTGGGGGTACAAATGACCCCAGGGTGTACGGATAGTGTTAAGGAGTTCATTAGTTTTTTGTATCAATAAAAAGATAGAAAGGAGAGGACACACTAACACACACACGCACAGCACACACACACACACACACACACACACAC